TGTCACCGTTTATGTATATTAATAATAATATATTTCTACCCGAGGACACCTAAAAGTGATACTCTTCTCTTCCTTTTCTATCCTCTCGTCACCGCCTACGTAAGGTCGCATTCAAGGACAAGCGGGCTAACCCAGATTTCGAGGCTTTCCAGAAATCTTGACCTACACCAGAAGTGGGCATTGCCCTACCTATAGGAGACGTTTGGTTTTATTGGTGTGTATATTTGTTTGTTTAAAGAGAAAACTCACCTTATTTTTCAAAGAAAGTGAACAAGGGGCAAAAACGTTGCCTTCGATTTTCTCAAAACAGCATTTTTCGAGGTAGCCCCATTGTGGTTAAAAGCGACCGTATAATAATATAATAATAATACCGGTATCTCTGTATGTACTCACTCGCTGAAGCACTCGATGCCTCTGAACGTGCACTCCATGAGCATGTCGTCAATCTGGTGACCGATGAATTCTCTGGTGTTCCTGCACACACGAGAGGGGGGTGTGGGGAGGGGGTGGATGGTGATTGGCTCTTCGTTATTTGGAAGGATGAAGGGTGAAGGCGCACACAGTGCAGAAACAAGAGAAGTGAACTGATAAGAGTGGAAATGGACAAGACATCAACTGATATAAGTGCGGACAGATGAAAGAATGTAAGAGTTTTACGGCTCTTGCAATATAACTAGGTCATATAAGGGCTGAGGATCAGACGTGTTGCAAGAGAGTAACAAACACAAAAAGAAAGAGGAGATATATAAAGCAGACAAATGTTTGATGGGAAAGGAGGAGCAAACCACACCAGAGCACCCGACAACCACCCACGCAACAAGGAATTAGAAAAACAAAACAAAACAAAACAAAATAAATACAAAACAAACACAAAGCAATAAATGGTAACATGAATCGAAGACTTCTCGCACCTACAACGGTTGACATCCACACAGAAGTAGTATACAAAGTATAAAAAATAGTAAGAAATTTACACGTTTTCCAGTCTCCTCAAAAAAAGGTCACTGTTTTGCTGTTTTATCGAAATAGATATTTTCAGACACATTTTAATGCAAAACGTATGTTGTTTCACAGTGAACACCATGATTCTTAACCAAAAGAGGATGTACAACCCTATAGGCGAGTGCGTAACAAAACAAACGAACAAAGAGAGAAACAAACAAACGTGCACACATAAATACACATTAACACGTAAACACACAAAAAGATGCAAGATGTTATGCGCAGGAGATCGAAGTAAGACAAGGAGATTAAAAGTAGTTCTAAACACCTTGAAGTAAGACGGATTTGTGTCTGCCAAGGGAATTAAGCAGTATAATGAAGTTAGTAAATATGTGGATACGAGTTCATTCCCCTTTTCCGTTTTTGTTGTAGTGGCAGGGATTGTAAAACTTCATTTTTGTTTTGTTTTGATTTTTGTTTTTTAACCTGCTCTCTTGAAGGCAGTAGTTGTGAAATCGTGCAACCCATAGAGCAGAGGGTTTCTAGGAAGAAGACACACAGAAATGTAGCCATTAGCAACCCATGCATCAGGGGGTTTCCAGGAAGAAGACACACAGAAATGTAGCCATTAGCAACCCATGCAGCAGGGGGTTTCCAGGAAGAAGACACACAGAAATGTAGCTATTAGCAACCCATGCAGCAGGGGGTTTCTAGGAAGAAGACAGAAATGTAGCCCTTAAACAGGCGGAAGAGGAGGAGGTGGAATAGAAATAGGAATAGGAGGAGGAGGAAGTGAAGGAGGAAGAAGAGGAGAATGAAACAGAGAGGGAGCAAGTAACAGGGGAAGGAAGAGGCGAGGAATGAGGAGAAGGAAGAGTAGGGGGAGAATGAAATCTGAGGAGGAACAGGAGGAGAATGAATGGAAGATG